ATCATACTAATATATCACGAGTCGCAGATACACTCATTTTTAGCATGGGCTCCCTGAGACTGGAAAGTTCCTCCATAGGGTTCCTCTGTGCTGCAAAGGTTGAAAAGGCTGATGTAAGCAGAGACATCCTGAAAGAGTTCCATACTCTTAGATTGTAAGCTCCGAGGAGCAGGGCCCTCCTAACCCTCTTGTATTAAACTGTATTGTTGCTGTATTGTCTCCCTTTATATTGTAAAGCGCTGAGCAAACTGTTGGCGCTATATAAATCCTGTATAATAATAATAACATACGTGCATGCTTGGCGGTTTAGTAATATTGCAGAGCTGTTCATCCATCAAAACTGCATGATTGGACAAAATCAAATGTTCTCAGGCTATAAATTCAGGGAATCGAATGTTATTTATTGAACAGAAAAAGTGTTAGAGTAAATACTACATTTTGGCCACTAGATGGAGCTTAGAATCATACTTATTTCCTATGTTCCTTAGCGCCATCTAGTGGCCATAATGCAGTATTTTTCTAATTCACACCATTTTTTTTTTTTTGGATAACCTAAAGCCGGGCAACATTTGATTTTGTCCCAGTCGCACAGAATGACTTTACATGCAGCTTCAATAGACAAACTGCTAGCTAATTTATTTTAAATATACCCCCCATAGTAACTTGGTGTCAGCACTCTGGGGATATTTTTTCACCTTCCCTTTGAGCGGGTAGACACAAAGCCAGATCAGGGAAGATTGACGGTTGTTGAAGAATGCAAATTGTCGCATGTGATGCTTTAGTGCATCGCCAAATAAAAACAATTATGTTGCAGCGAATAGATTTTTTTTTACACAAAGTAGAATATGTAACTGTCTTGCGCCTTCATCCTCTTGGGCTCTACTGCAACCCTTTATGGCGCAGGTTTCTGTGCGCCAAATATTTGCCGACAATATCTGTGTCTTTGTGTGTTTAACTGCTTGCCCACCGCCCTATAGAAAAAAATACTGCTACAAGGCGGCAGGGGTGTGCAAAATCACGTATATATACTTGACTTTGCATTTTTGGGTAGGCTGTTGTCGGCTTCAGCTGACGATCACCGGGTCCCGGCTGGTGATTCCCCGCCGCCACCCAGCAATCGCCGGGTATCACTGTAAGCAATCTCTCCCCTGTCTGCTCCTGCACACTGCTTTGTATGGCTCTGCAGAGCACAGCCGTACAAAGCAGCATGCCTTCCTAGTAACACACACAGCACACAGGGGACCCTCTGATCTCCCAAGATGTTAACCCCTTCCTGCCCAGTGTCATTAGTACAGTGTCAGGGCTTTTTATTAGCACTGATCACTGTATTAGTGTCACTGGGGATGTCAGTACCCCCCCCCCCCCCCTCCCAGTGTCAGAATGCCTGCCACAGTCCCGCAGTCCACTATAAGTCGCTGATTGCAGCCATTACTAGTATTAAAAAAAAAAATCCCAGTATATATACCGCCATTTGTAGACGCTATAACTTTCACGTAAACCAATTAATTTACATGTATCGGGATTTTTTTCAGCAAAGACATGGAGCAGAATACATCTTGGCCTAAATTTATAATGAAATTTGATTGATTTATTTATTTATTTTCACTGGATATGGTTTTTAGAAAAAAGTCAAAAATATTGTTTTTTTCCCTCAAAATCGTCAGTCTTTTTTTATTTATAGTGCAAAAAATTAAAAATGCAGAGATGCTCAAATACCACCTAAAGAAAGCTCCATGTGTGGGAAAAAAAGACATGAATTTAATTTGGGTGCAGCGTTGCATGACCGCGCAATTGTCAGTTAAAGTAACGCAGCGCTGTATCGCAAAAAATGGCCTGGTCAGGGAGGGGGGTAAATCCTCTGGAGGGTAGGTGGTTAAAGAACAATTTAACTTTTTGTCCAAAAAATTAATATTGCATAAACAAACTATTTTGTAATTTAATATTATTAAAAGTGACCTTTCTATTCCTATCTCAAAGTTGCTGAGATTTTCTAAAAAAATGTTTTAAAAATTACAATATGGTAACCTGGAGACATTCTGTACTCAGCTGGTGTACAGAATGCAATAGATTAATTCCTTTTATCCTCAGCTCCATCTAGTGGACAAAATGCAATATATTTTTTCATTGAAGTAGTTCAGAAAACTATCACATTTCTGCCACTAGATGGAACCCACCAACTAATTATAATAACCTAGACCTGCCCATTGAGGACTCAGACCCCTCCCATTCAGGAATCAAACCCCTCCCATTCAGGAATCAGACCCCCTCCCACTCAGGAATCAGATGTCTCCCAGTCAGGAATCAGACCCCTCCCATTCAGGAATCAGACCCCTCCCACTGAGGAATCAGACCCATCCATTTAGGAAACAGACCTCTCCCACTGGGAGGGATCAGACCCCTCCCATTCCGTAATCAGACCTTTCCCATTCAGGAATTAGATCCATCCCACTGAGGAATCAGACCCCTCCTATTTAGGAAACAGACCCCTCCCACTGAGGGATCAGACCCCTCTCTTTCAAGAATCAGACCCCCTTCATTTAGAAATCAGATCCTCCCATTCAGGAATCAGACTCCTCTCATTCAGGAATCAGACCCCTCCCATTCAAGAACTGATCCCTTCCATTCAAGAATCAGATCCTCCCATTCAAGAATCAGTATTCAGGTATCAGAACTCTCCCATTTAGGAATCAGACCCCTCCCACTCAGAAATCAGACCCCTCCCATTCAGGAATCAAACCCATCCCATTCAGGAATCACACTCCTCTCATTCAGGAATCAGACCCCCTCCCATTTAGGAATCGGACCCCTCCCATTCGGGAATCAGTCTGCAAAGGATACGGTGAAACAAACAGATTTTTCTTTAGAATAAAAACAGGTAGGAATCTGCAACAAGGTTTGCTGAAATCCTTGCAATGGACATTGATCACCCAGAGGGGATTGTTTTTTTCTCAACAAAAATGGAGTTACACTTTAAATAAGAAAGGTAATTGCAGGCATTTTACAGTGTCTGCTCTTAGGCAGGACATTTACTTTTAAAAGTTGACAGCAGAGTACAGGATTTTTTTTGTGCTTATTACAATGTGATGAGAATGACATTGATGGTGGGATTCACACCTACAAACCCACACGTACTACATGCACGCGCACGCACCACAGTTCACGGTATATGTGCATCGCCACCCCAACTACACATACATAGTATATATAAACGTTACCGCCCTTGTGAGCACCATAATGCACAGATGTTAATGCAATGTGAGTTGTGGAGTGCTGCGTTTCTAAATAAAAATAGGGCAGGAATTTTATTTTTAATATGTCAAGGCTTGTAAAAGACCCTTTAAAGTAAAAGAGCTGCCTTAACACAATAAGCAATTATGTGCCTGAAGGCCTGTTCACACCATAACACAATCTGCTGCATTCAAAATAGATGGGCTGCCAACTCACCTCAATGCATGAAAAAAATGTGTCTAATATTTTTATTTCCTATGACCTCCTGCAACATCTAGTGGCCATAATGTGGTATCTCCCTGAAATACAGCAATCAGCAAAACACCAGATTATGGCCACTAGATGGAGCTGTCAATCATAGGAAATAAAAACATCAGAAAAAATTGTCGTGGTTATTCGTAATGGCTGGCAGGCAATTTTTTTTTATAAAAAGACCATTAAGTGTTTCCCAACCTCACTGCTCAGCTGGTCATTTTCTTAGGATTTGTCTCAGCGGGAACAGCTCTGATAATTACTGAGCCTGTAAAAAAAAATGATTGCCTCATTTGAGTAAGGTGAATCATGAAAACATGCCCATGCCTGGGATACTAAAACATGAGGGTGGGGGACATCGCTGTAATGTGAGGGATCGGAGGGTTTACACTGACTGTAGGTGACGATGCTGTTGCAGTGATAGCACATAGTAGGCTCAATTCACAAAGTTTTATCAATGACCCAAGGCACTCACAGCCATATGATTATAATTGTTAAATTTCATCAGACTCGACTAAAAAAAAAACTGTCACTTTAATAAAAATGTTAATTGTCCTGATGTGTAATCTTTGTGAATTGAGCCTAGTGTTGGGTGTAAACAGCAGTCCACTTAATAGCTCTGCAGCATGGAGGACGGGTGAACCGTGCCCATGGCCGTACCCAACTCACAGCTGAGTTTCTATGATGAAGAGGGTCTGGAGAGAAATGGACTGCATTAATGTCCAGTGTTTGTGGAACAGATGATGCTGGACACATAACAGACACTGATCCATTCACAGCTGGACCGCAAAACTGCCCAAGTGGGTGTTGGTGCACAGAGCAGCCCTTGATAAAGGTCAAATGATATTCTGGAGTGAAATCACCCAGTACAATGTCACAAACCTCACCCTGTTAGTGGGATGTGGGTGACGGTGCTACAATCTCACCAAGCAGTTATCTGATGTATAAGTCAAGAGATGATTCAGCCCTTTACTGCAAATCCCTAAATATTCCCTAATAAAATATGAAAAATTTCTGTGCAAATTGTTTCTACAAGAAAAAAAGATTCTTTCCCTGTGATTTCCGACGCAGGATTTCAATAAGTTGTCCTTGAAAGTTTGTTTTCTGTGCTCTCACAGATGAAATGTTCATGTTGAACAGGTTGTGAAAAGGTAAGGACTTTGGAAATGGTAAAAGAGGCTTCCAGGAGAATCCTCAAAGACTGATTTCACAATGGACAACCACAACCACAGGACTGTCCATGGAGAGTCCAGACCACAGTCTTTGAATTATGGTAAGAGATCCAAGATGCCATCCACTGACCACCACGTAGAAGCCTAGAAACTAAACCTCTGATGTTCCATCCATAAAGACCCCAGATAAGAAGTCCGGGAATTCAAGAGAAACGACCACCAACAAAATGTCAACATTTTGTAAATCCAGATAGGGGAAGTATTTGTTCCATAACTGCCTGGCAGGTCTGGTCTGTGTGGTCCAAGTCTTGCCTAGGTTCATCCCCTGTTCATTAGTTCCCAGAAAATTTACTGAGTGACACATTCCAGAGGGTTGTCTACCATTTCACTATCCATGTCCGGGTTCAATGTCTTCTTCTGCTCAATCTCCACCTGGCCAGAAGAGAAGGACGGTGATTACTGATGGCCTGACATATCAATTCATCAAAGTGCAGATATAGCGATTCTCATAAAACTACATAAATGTGAATTTAGAGGAAAACAACCATCGAATCCAATTTCGCTGGCTCAGTTTCTCTGCTATTTGCTCAGGGTTCTTAGTACAGCGCTACAGAATATGTCAGAGCTATATAAATGTTTAATAACAATAGTGTGTAACTGTGGCACAAAATTAGAGTGCATGCTCCTTTGGTGCAGACTGAAGTGACAGTTCTCTGTACAGCTCTATGGAATATGTCAGAGCTATATAAATGTATAATGATAGGATGAGACTGTGGTGGGACATTAGAATGTAAGCTCCTCTGGTACAGAGAGTGATGTGACCGGCTCAGTGTTCTCTGTACAGCACTGTGGAATATGTCAGAGCTATATAAATGTATCATAATGATAGTGTGTGGTAGCCAAAAGAAAACAGTACCGCCCAGATGCCTCAGTGTATAGTGTGTCCGCCAGACTGGTTACACTGTAGGCTGGTGTCAGTTAGGACAGAAACTGGCTCATCAAGCCAGACCACGAGAAAATGGCACCCATCCGCACTCAGCATCGACTTACTGTGAACTAAGTGGTCAATCCAAAAATGTAAAATGGATCCAGCTTCCATCCCCTACCCACGGAGGAATCAACTAACACGTTTCACCCATGTGGATGCCTCTACAGTTAACCCCTAATTTGGCGAAACATGTTAGTGAATTCCTCCATGGGTAGAGGATGAAAGCTGAATCCATTTGCATTTATTTGGATTGATCAACTAGTTCACAGTGAGCCGATGCTGAGTGCGGATGGGCGCCATTTTCTTGTAATAATAGTGTGTGACTGGGGTGGGACATTAGAGTGTAAGCTCCTCTGCTGAAAAGACTGAGGTGCCTGCCTCAGTGTTCTCTGTACAGCACTGAGGTACATATCGAAGTTATATAAATGTAATATAATAATAGTGTGTGACTGTGGTGGGACATTAGAGTGTAAGCTCCTCTGGTACAGAGACCAATGTGACTGGCTCAGTGTTCTCTGTACAGCGCTGTGGTATATGTCAGGTTTATATAACAGTATAATAATAATAACAATAATAATAGTGTATGATTGGGAGGGTATTAGAGTGTAAGCTTCTCAGGTGCAGAGACGGATGTGAATGTTGTCTCCTTTATAAGATATTACTGTTCCCTAAGACGTTTGCAATGGAAACAAATCCATGGTATGGTATGATCAGATCTCACCTTGTAATGATAATGGGCCGAATAGTTCACCCACTTTTTGACTTCTGTCCTGTCCTCTACAGAAATGGAACGTACAGCGATCTTTGACGACGAGGCCGCTGGCATGTGGTATTCTACCTCCACGTGTTTCGCAAAGGTTCGTGGCACTTCCCGGTCTGATCCGAGCTCCAGGTGGCAGTAGAAGCAGTGGGGGTGACCCCATCCTTAAAAGGGAACAGAAGTCAGTGATAAAAAAAGTACATTATGTCCTCCAGGCATTGGGGCCCTATCTACATAAGCCCCCCCCCTCAGCAGCAATAGGCCTCCCCAGTAAATATTGATCTCCATGCATAAAAAGTCCCCCCCCCCCATCAACAATAGATCCCCCAGAAGCCAGCATCAAAAGACTCTCCAGCACATCCCAGCACCCCTTGCCATACATACATTCAGTGCTGGAGGTGCCAGAACTGCATTCCCCCATGTTGCTGCTGAAAAAAGCCCTGAAATACACTAATAAGTTAATTATTCACAGATCGCATTTTTGATTATATAAAAAACAATAAAAGTTTATTATTCCATCACGCCTTTGTGCAGACTATCACTGACTTTTTTTTTTCCCTGAAGTCCCGTGGTGTAGTGAACACACTCACAAAATTAGCAAAAAAAAAAAAAAGTGAGCACACAAAAAGTGCACAGGGTGGACGTCTGGCCCTCCTTTGAAGAGAAAGGGCCCTAGCCCTGATCTCTGGGGTGCAAGGCTCCTGACGGGGACTGAGGCACTCACTAGGTCCTCCCGGCCGAAACCAGGTGGACCCCTTTCTTCAGGAGGCCTGCCGAAGCAAGGCCACCTCGAGTTCTAAGCAGGGTTCCCCCAAAGGCAGACCCCATTGGAGGAGGAGACCCGGACAAAAAGGCCACATGCCCCCCCCACAACTTTCAGGGCAGGCTACACCCTATTAATCAGGAAAAGTGAAAGTGCTGTGCAAAAGTGCAAGTGACAAACATTAAAAAAAAAGGGAAAGGAGAAGTGGAAAAGTGCTATAGTGCCATGGGAAAATACTATGGCTGGCCGTTTGGCCAGCAATAAATAAAATTTACTCTGGTCCCAGCCAAAAGGACCAGCCCTAGAGGAAGGTGTGAAAAAAAGCCTGGCTGGTGCAGTGACCAAAGTGCCTAAAACACAAAGTGAGTTCCCTCACCGTGAGAATTGTGGCACCTCCGGACTACGGGCTTCTTTCTCAGCCCGGCCCTTGGCCAGACCAGTGCAGTCCCATCCCTACCAAAAAGGCATCAGAACTTAGGAAGCTAAGGGAGAGCCTTTCCGACAACCTAGGACAAGCCTGGTGTACCAGCCAAGAATCAGCCGGGAAGGAAAAGGCTCCCCCACCACTCTCACCATTCGCACTTAATTACATCTGGAATTACTAACTAATGCAGGCCATAGATGGGTCGAAAATCGGCTGATTTTTCGGCCGAAAAAAAAAATGGGTTAATTGGTCGGCCATTTTTGGGGTTTTGGCACATTTTTTTCATCGGTGAAGTTGGAAAAAAAATCGGTCGATTTTGCCGAATGGCCTATTTTCCCGGCAATGATGGGCAAATTGGCCGATCTTTTTACCAATAAAAAATCTGTGCATGAGCCATGGCCTGCAAGAAGAAGAAAAAGAAGAAGAAGAAAAAGAAGAAGAATAAGAATTCCAGTCCGCTATTATATTTGACATGAAAAAGTATTGCGGTTGCAGCAATGTATCTATTTGTATCCGAATAAAAACCATCTGTATCCAAAATGGATACAAACGGATACATTGTTGCAACCGCAATACGTTTTCATATCAAATATAATAGCAGAGCTCTCTGCAGGGACAGAAGTAATTAAATGCCGGCCATAGATGGGACGAAAATCGGCCAATTTTTTTTACAGTTGGTGGTAACGTCGGCCTATTGAACGATCGATTTTTCTTTTTTTTTTTCGACCTGTCTATGGCCTGCATAACTCCACAATTGGTGAAGAGAGCCAGGGTTCTATCCAAGACAACTGATAAGAACAGATACTACACTTGATCTTAGCAAAAGGCCGAGAAGCGATAACTAAGCCCTGACTTATTTTATATGTATATTGGGGACAATCATGTTGGCTCATCATACAAGTTCTCTTTTCTTCTTCGTGATTATGCTTTACTGCTCCTTTCAGTTGATGAAAGCCCACCAGTTGCCTGAGACTGATTTAAAACAATAGACTATGATACAGGGGCAGACTGACCATTTGGAAACTCGGGCACCGCCCAAGGGCCCGGTGTCAGTAGGGGGCCCCATGAGATGCCCCTGGTACCTTTTTCATAGGCTTTTTTGAGTTTGGGCAAGGACACAGGGGCCCCATGATCCCCTATTGCCCGGGGGCCCCATGAGTTGTCAGTCTGCCCTTGCTATGATAGTGATCCTGGTATCTCAGCAGCCAATCTGCAGGGACAATGAATACCTGCCTGATAAATAAATGACCAATAGAGGGAGACTTGCATATCAAGAGAACAGTGGGGTGTATGCAGGAATATGAACATTCAATGTTAAATTATTCAGCCGGTGCCGGCTTGAAGGATGTATTCTTTGACCCCTTGTATACCTTTGCTTACTTTGTCTGAGCCTAATGCATTAGGCCTCATGATCCTTGGTCATCTAAAACAGTGCTTCTCAACCTTTTTTCAATCAAGACACTCTCTAAAAGTATGAACAATCCCGAGACACCTTCTAAAATTATGGAAAGTCCCTAGGCACCCCATTCTAAAATGTAAAAAAATGTTCTAATAGTTTTAGATGACCCAACAGCATCCACACATGTAGGACACCCAACATCAGAGGTGATTTATTCTTCCAAAGCAAATACACTTTTGCACACTGGTACTGACTACTATTCCAATGTTTCTCTTCTCCCTCAGTTTTTCTCCATCACTAAGCTAATCTGACCCCCAACGCTGACAGTGAGGGGCAGGGAAGGGTCAAACTAGAATGCTGTGCAGGTAACCGACATACTCCTTATCAACCGGTGATGTCATTGGTGTCAGGACACCGGTGGCTAGAAGGTCTTAATGGTGCATAACAAAAACATGAGGCTTTGTGGTTTGTATACAAGTTTTGGGCAATCTTTAGACATTTTGCCAAAGCACCCCCGAAAAAACCTCAAGGCACCCTGGATGAAAAAGGCTGATCAGAACTATATAATAGGCACCCTGGATGAAAAAGGCTGATCAGAACTATATAATAATAGGTGCAGTGCTATAGAAATATATATAATAATTAGAGATGAGCGAATTATTCAAAAATTCGATTCGGCTGATTCGCCGAATTTGCTGGAGAAATTCGATTCGATGCGAATTTATTCGCCGCGAATTTAACTTATTTAAAGGGTTTCTAGGCTTCAGAGAGCCTTTATATTAGTGCAGAACACTGTACCTTTAATTTAAATGCCCTTGGAGTCTGCTGGGGAAGAGAAATAATACTGTCAGTCAGTATGACATGCAGATGAGTGCCGTCGATCTTAGAATCACCGCACACTTCACTCATTTGGGCAGTCATGGGGCACGACGACGACGAAGAAGAAGAAGAAGAATGAAGAAGAAGAATGAAAAGAAGAAGAAGAAGAAGAATGAAAAGAAGAAGAAGAATGAAAAGAAGAAGAAAAAGAAGAAGAAGAATGAAAAGAAGAAGAAGAAGAAGAAGAAGAAGAATGAGAAGAAGAATGAGAAGAAGAATGAGAAGAAGAATGAGAAGAAGAATGAGAAGAAGAATGAAAAGAAGAATGAAAAGAAGAATGAAAATAAGAAGAAGAAGAATGAAAAGAAGAATGAAAAGAAGAAGAAGAAGAAAAGAAGAATGAAAAGAAGAATGAAAAGAAGAATGAAAATAAGAAGAAGAATGAAAAGAAGAAGAAGAAGAATGAAAAGAAGAATGAAAAGAAGAAGAAGAATGAAAAGAAGAATGAAAAGAAGAAGAAGAATGAAAAGAAGAATGAAAAGAAGAATGAAAAGAAGAAGAAGAATGAAAAGAAGAATGAAAAGAAGAAGAAGAATGAAAAGAAGAAGAAGAAGAAGAAGAAGAAGAAGAAGAATGAAAAGAAGAAGAAGAAGAAGAAAAATGAAAAGAAGAAGAAGAAGAAGAAGAAAAATGAAAAGAAGAAGAAGAAGAAGAAGAAGAAGAAAAATGAAAAGAAGAAGAAGAAGAAGAAGAAGAAGAAAAATGAAAAGAAGAATGAAAAGAAGAATGAAAATAAGAAGAAGAAGAATGAAAAGAAGAATGAAAATAAGAAGAAGAAGAATGAAAAGAAGAATGAAAAGAAGAATGAAAATAAGAAGAAGAAGAATGAAAAGAAGAATGAAAATAAGAAGAAGAATGAAAAGAAGAAGAAGAAGAATGAAAAGAAGAATGAAAAGAAGAAGAAGAATGAAAAGAAGAATGAAAAGAAGAAGAAGAATGAAAAGAAGAATGAAAAGAAGAATGAAAAGAAGAAGAAGAATGAAAAAAGAAGAATGAAAAGAAGAAGAAGAATGAAAAGAAGAAGAAGAAGAAGAAGAAGAAGAAGAAAAATGAAAAAAGAAGAAGAAGAAGAAGAAGAAGAAAAAAATGAAAAGAAGAAGAAGAAGAAGAAGAAGAAAAATGAAAAAAGAAGAAGAAGAAGAAGAAGAAAAAAATGAATGAAAAGAAGAAGAAGAAGAAGAAGAAGAAAAATGAAAAGAAGAAGAAGAAGAAGAAAAGAAAAATGAAAAGAAGAAGAAGAAGAAGAAGAAAAGAAGAAAGAAAAATGAAAAGAAGAAGAAGAAGAAGAAGAAGAAGAAAAAATGAAAAGAAGAAGAAGAAGAAAAATGAAAAGAAGAAGAAGAAGAAGAAGAAGAAGAAGAAAAATGAAAAGAAGAAGAAGAAGAAGAAGAAGAAAAATGAAAAGAAGAAGAAGAAGAAGAAGAAGAAAAATGAAAAGAAGAAGAAGAAGAAGAAGAAGAAGAAGAAAAATGAAAAGAAGAAGAAAGAAGAAGAAGAAGAAGAAAAATGAAAAGAAGAAGAAGAAGAAGAATGAAAAGAAGAATGAAAAAAAGAAGAAGAAGAAGAAGAAGAATGAAAAGAAGAAGAAGAAGAATGAAAAGAAGAATGAAAAGAAGAAGAAGAAGAAGAAGAAGAAGAAGAACAAGAATGAAAAGAAGAAGAAGAAGAAGAATGAAAAGAAGAATGAAAAGAAGAAGAAGAAGAAGAAGAAGAATGAAAAGAAGAAGAAGAAGAATGAAAAGAAGAATGAAAAGAAGAAGAAAGAAGAAGAAGAAGAAGAAGAAGAAGAATGAAAAGAAGAAGAAGAAGAAGAAGAAGAACAAGAATGAAAAGAAGAAGAAGAAAAAAGAATGAAAAGAAGAATGAAAAGAAGAAGAAGAAGAAGAATGAAAAGAAGAATGAAAAGAAGAATGAGAAGAATGAAAAGAAGAATGAGAAGAATGAAAAGAAGAATGAAAAGAAGAATGAGAAGAAGAATGAAAAGAAGAATGAGAAGAAGAATGAAAAGAAGAATGAGAAGAATGAAAAGAAGAAGAATGAAAAGAAGAATAATGAAAAGAAGAATGAAAAGAAGAATGAGAAGAATGAAAAGAAGAATGAAAAGAAGCAGAATGAAAAGAAGAATGAAAAGAAGAAGAAGAAGAAAGAAGAAGAAGAAAAAGAAGAAGAAGAATGAAAAGAAGAATGAAAAGAAGAATGAAAAGAAGAATGAAAAGAAGAATGAAAAGAATGAAAAGAAGAAGAAGAAGAATGAAAAAAGAAGAAGAAGAAGAATGAAAAGAAGAATTAGAAGAATGAAAAGAAGAAGAAGAATGAAAAGAAGAATGAGAAGAATGAAAAGAAGGAGAAGAATGAAAAGAAGAATTAGAAGAATGAAAAAGAAGAAGAATGAAAAGAAGAAGAATGAGAAGAATGAAAAGAAGAATGAAAAGAAGAATGAGAAGAATGAAAAGAAGAATGAAAAGAAGAATGAAAAGAAGAAGAAGAATGAAAAGAAGAATGAAAAGAAGAAGAAGAATGAAAAGAAGAAGAAGAAGAATGAAAAGAAGAAGAAGAAGAAGAATGAAAAGAAGAAGAAGAAGAAGAATGAAAAGAAGAATGAAAATAAGAAGAGGAAGAAGAATGAAAAGAAGAAGAAGAAGAATGAAAAGAAGAATGAAAAGAAGAGAAAGAAGAATGAAAAGAAGAAGAATGAAAAGAAGAATGAGAAGAAGAATGAAAAGAAGAATGAGAAGAAGAATGAAAAGAAGAATGAAAAGAAGAATGAAAAGAAGAATGAAAAGAAGAAGAAGAAGAATGAAAAGAATGAAAAGAAGAATGAAAAGAAGAATGAAAAGAAGAAGAAGAAGAAGAAGCAGAATGAAAAGAAGAATGAAAAGAAGAAGAAGAAGAAGAATGAAAAGAAGAAGAAGAATGAAAAGAAGAATGAAAAGAAGAAGAAGAAGAAGAAGAAGAATGAAAAGAAGAAGAAGAATGAAAAGAAAAATGAAAAGAAGAATGAAAAGAAGAATGAAAAGAAGAAGAATGAAAAGAAGAATGAAAAGAAGGAGAAGAAGAATGAAAAGAAGGAGAAGAAGAATGAAAAGAAGGAGAAGAAGAATGAAAAGAAGAATGAAAAGAAGAAGAAGAAGAAGAAGAAGAAGAAGAAGAAGAAGAATGAAAAGAAGAAGAAGAATGAAAAGAAGAATGAAAAGAAGTAGAAGAAGAAGAATGAAAAGAAGAAGAAGAAGAAGAAGAAGAAGAAGAATGAAAAGAAGAAGAAGAAGAATGAAAAGAAGAAGAAGAATGAAAAAAGAAGAATGAAAAGAAGAATGAAAAGAAGGAGAAGAAGAATGAAAAGAAGGAGAAGAAGAATGAAAAGAAGAAGAAGAATGAAAAGAAGAATGAAAAGAAGAAGAAGAAGAAGAAGAAGAAGAAGAAGAAGAAGAAGAAGAAGAAGAAGAAGAAGAAGAAGAAGAAGAAGAAGAAAGAAGAAGAAGAAGAATGAAAAGAAGAAGAAGAATGAAAAGAAGAATGAAAAGAAGTAGAAGAAGAAGAATGAAAAGAAGAAGAAGAAGAAGAAGAAGAAGAATGAAAAAAGAAGAAAAAAGAAGAAGAAGAAGAAGAATGAAAAAAGAAGAAGAAGAAGAAGAAGAAGAATGAAAAGAAGAAGAAGAAGAAGAATGAAGAAGAAGAAGAAGAAGAATGAAAAGAAGAAGAAGAATGAAAAGAAGAAGAAGAAGAATGAAAAGAAGAAGAAGAATGAAAAGTAGTAGAAGAATGAAAAGAAGAAGAAGAAGAATGAAAAGAAGAATGAATGAAAAGAAGAATGAAAAGAAGAAGAAGAAGAATGAAAAGAAGAATGAGAAGAATGAAAAGAAGAAGAATGAAAAGAAGAATGAAAAGAAGAAGAAGAATGAAAAGAAGAAGATGAATGAAAAGAAGAAGAAGAAGAATGAAAAGAAAAAGAATGAAAAGAAGAATGAGAAGAAGAATGAAAAGAAGAATGAAAAGAAGAATGAAAAGAAGAATGAAAAGAAGAATGAAAAGAAGAATGAAAAGAAGAATGAAAAGAAGAAGAAGAAGAATGAAAAGAAGAAGAAGATGAAAAGAAGAAGAAGAAGAATGAAAAGAAGAAGAATGAAAAGAAGAAGAGGAAGAATGAAAAGAAGAAGAAGAATGAAAAGAAGAAGAAGAAGAATGAAAAGAAGAATGAAAAGAAGAAGAAGAAGAAGAAGAATGAAAAGAAGAAGAAGAATGAAAAGAAGAAGTATTCCAGTACAGCAAAAAGTGTATCTGCAGAGAGCTCCGCTATTTCTGACAGTTCTGACAGTTCATTTACAGCGGTTGAAACATTGCATCTATTTCCGAATAAAAACATCTGTATCCTAAATGGAAACAAATAGATACAATGTTTCAACCGCTGTAAATGAACTGTCAGAACTGTCAGAGAACTGTCAGAAATAGCGGAGCTCTCTGCAGTGACACTTTTGCCGGCTGATCGGGGAAAATTCGATTCGTGCATCCGAAGTTGGCTAAAATTCGGATTCGATGCGAATCGAATTTTTCCTAATATTCGAAACGAATTCCACTTCGCCAAGTTCGATTCGCTCATCTCTAATAATAATCAATGTCCACAAATAAATATAACAAATAATAAAATGTTCCTGCGTGCAGATCTGGGTAATAAATAATGGTGCTCCAAAAAGGTATGGTAGAATTACGCACTCACCAGATGCGTAACGTAAATACACATTGTATATATGTGTAGAGGTCCCCTTTAGGATATGGGTAAGGTTCTGCCACAGGATAATCCTCCCTCTAAATATGGTGGTGCTGTCAGTAATTCACGGGATAGTATAGGATCCAGCTAAACCAGAGGTCCCTTTAAGGGATGGACGGGTGTGGACGCTTTGCACATTGACATAGACAAACAAGCAGCTTCACAGTAAAAAAAGGCATTTTCTATGGTCTCCTGTGTGGAGCTATTTACTTTTACAGCCCATCCTGATCCAGCCATCCATCAACATCCAGAGAGGGGAGTTCCTTAATGCCGATATCCACACCCATCCATCCCTTAAAGGGACCTCTGGTTTAGCTGGATCCTGTACTATCCCGTGAATTACTGTCAGGAATGGACTTGCCAATAGTGGTGGGACTCACCTGCCTTCTGGGCTGCAGTACCAGGGCTGGCCAGCGGGTGCTCTCAACAACCAGAGGTTCACTTCGGCAATTAGCCATCACCTGGGGCTGATTGCAGGTGTATTTAAGGGATGGCCAGACCTGCAGTCTGTGCCTTGGTGTGTGTTTTTCCATGGGCCCCTGTACCTTGTAACCTGCATTCCTGTTCCTGTTTCTGCCTGACTTGTTGCCGACCCTGCCTGATCCTGACCTCTGCTGACTTCTCCTGTTTTGATCCCTGGCTTGTGACCCTGACCATTCTCTCCGCTTGCTCCTCCTGTACCTACCTGCCCGATAGTTATCCACCCGGCCTGCCTGACTACGTTGTGCTCTATATGTGTATGTACCTGTGTATCTGTATCAGTTTAGGTTTGGGTTTGTTTCACCTTGTTGTATGTATTTGTGTCAGCTTGGGGTTTGGTGCACTGCGTTTATGTTTGTATTGTTAGTCTTAATAAATTGTCTTGTTTATACCATATCTGGAGCCTGTGTTTCCCTGTGTCAGTACACACATCTCTGGTCACACCCGCATCCCTGACAATTACTGACAGCACCACCATGTCTAGAGGGAGGATTATCCTGTGGCAGGACCTCTACACATATATACAATGCGTATTTACGTTACGCATCTGGTGAGTGCGTAATTCTACCATACCTTTTTGGAGCACCATTATTTACTACCCAGATCTGCATGGAGGAACATTTTTAATATTTGTCATATTTATTTGTGGACATTGATTATTATATATATATTTCTATAGTGCTGCACCTATTATTTGCTTTGATCTTCTGAAGGTTTTTATTGATTACCTTTGGTGTTATAGCTGCTGTTTCCAAGAGCGCTCACTACTTTCCTTTATGTTTATGAGAATAAATGACCTGTTAACTCCCTGACCTACCGTCATTTCAGAGTGGATTTCAGTTTCACATAAGACTCACACATAATGTAAACAGCTGTTATGCACACTCAGGAGCTGGTGGATAGTATGTTGACAGTGCAGCGACCGTTACAATAGATAACCTCTGACTGCTGACTCTCAGACTCAAAGTAAGTTAAACCTGGAGCCCAGAGTCGGGCTTTAAGGATAAATACAAACAAGTCTCATGACAGAAATTAAAGTGTACCTATAGTAAAGCTTAGGGTAGTGAAGTGTTGTCAGGAATCCCAGAACAACGTTTCTTACCTGAGTTTTTATCTGGCAGTCTGTTTATCCTCCACACGATGGCATTATAGGCATGTTCATACTTGGCTGTTCCCAGTGTTACTCTCATGGCTGGTTCTGTCCCAGATACACTGGGAGAACCGAAGCTGGCCTCCCTGTTTACTTTGGCCTTCAAGGACTTCTCGCCCAATACACTGTCTCTTCGGAAATAGTTCACCCACTCTGGTGGTACTGGGTGCCGAATAGTGATGTTCTCACAAGGGACCTGTGACAGACTGTCTCTGTTGGAGGAGAAGCCCGAAGACATGACCAACCAACTCTGGAGCTCGACCTCGGCCCCGCGAATGCAAGCCATGGTCCTGAGTGTGAAAGGCAAAGTCTTTTCAGAAAATATTGTCCTTACCCTCATTAGTTCAAACCTACACGCATCCAACGGTGTAAACACCACCATCCTGGAGCTGTGAAATGCTTCCTCGTCCACAGACGAGTGGAATTGGCAATCATGGAGTCTCACCCACTTGGTTGTAGTGGTTGGCATAATGTCATGTCTGGAGACAACTTCATTGCCTTTAATAAGGATGTCATTAAGTCCTAGGCTGCAGTCCGCCATACCTGAGATAAAGCTAAGAACATGGACTCGTGTGATCACAGAGTGTTCGAGGAGCTGGACTTCCCCCTTGCCAAGGATTCCACGGAATTCATCTTTCACGTCCACAGTGATCTCCTCCTCTATGTAATTTTGGTGCACAGTGCTAAGGTCTACTGTGGCCGGAAGGCGGAAGAGGACATCCTGGACAGAGGCAATCATGCTTATAAAGTCTGAATAGTCTGTTGTCCCCAGCTTGACCACTTGCTCCCTCTCCCCTGTGTGACTGACCAGAGGCATTGGCTGGTATTTACGTTTTTCTTTGTACAGTACCCGGTCGATACGGATAGTGTGAATCCTGCCATTGTCATCATAGTTTTGCAGTTTAGGATCTGCAATCTCATGGTTGACCTCTAGTTTAAACTCCCTAAAAGGCTTTTCCAAACCCTTTTCGTAAAAGAGTTGCAAAAACCCAGCTTCAGTGACTTTGACATAGATAGGGCCCCAATGCCTGGAGGACATAATGTTCTTTTTCTCTGGAATCCTAAGCATCATTGGCCAACCATCCTTTGGTTGGGGCTTGGTAAAAGTCAAACAATGGCCAAGAGGTTCATCATACCTCAGAGGGTCATCTGGCAGAGTAGGGCTACCAGGGGAATCTGGGTCTTCAATCTGAATCTGTTTGAGATGTTCTACAGCATCAGCTTGCAAAGCCTTCTTTCGATAATCCTCAAACTGATCAGTATCAAGTTCCTCAGCAAGAAGAGAGATGGAATTTCTTTGACTTGAGTCCGGGCCACTGGATACTGAAGAGTGTTGAGAACGCCTTTCTTGCTCCTCAAACCATGAGCTAAAAGGATTGATTGGTGATGGCTGGACATCTTTCAAGGCCTCATCTAAAAATGGGTTGGGAGCCTTTGTGGGGGTGGAATTTAACGAGAGCTGCCTGTGCAAAGATGAAAAGTCAAGCCTCTGCGTCCTGTTTAGGTCAACCAATGAGCTCTTGGGCCTTTCCCTTTTTTTTAAGGCTCCAACAGGTTTAGAAACAAAGTCCGGCGTTGAAGGAGATTTTGGGCTCGCTGTTGGCTTTTGAGGAGCATTGCTTGGGGAAGGTGGAGCAATTTCCTCTTCAAAAGTGACCCAACTGGGAAAACGAGAACTGGTTTCGGTGTGACCATTAAGTGGACAAGTGTTGGATGGCCAGCCGACGATCTCCATGTCTAGCTCATCATCATCTTGGAGAGAGGAGTTATCTGAAGGATGAAAAAGAAAAAAGTTAAAGATATAACACAAGGCAACAAACAACATGAGAGTAAGCTTTCAAAAATGTCAACTAATGTAAACTTCATAGGAATGGAAAAGTAGTTACAGTTAATGTGGAACTCTAGCCAGGCAAACGTGCCAATTTTTGAATGTTCATGGCCATGGAAAGGATATGACCATTTCCCTTCCTGAGCATGTCATAGCTGAGCAGGTCCCATGATGTAGTGGGGGGATATAAAAAAAAGAGACACTTAAAGATGTCATTGCTTAGACTTGTAAATTGGCTGTACTCCCATCGCAAATCAAAATACCTATACATAGTGATGGCAACGGCCTTTACAAATGTTTAACTTTTTAATGAGTTTGTTGACGTCCTGCAGGCTGCGCACTATATAAACAGGACGCCTGTGTTTTTTTGCATTCTGTTTCCCAGAATCTCTGGGCCTGAGAATCAGCATTGGCACTGACCGCACAACCTCCGGAACCAGGAAAAGACTGAGATAAGAGTCACACAACCCTCAGCTGCAGGAAGAACCCTTGACACTTACACCCAACTCCCTTAACCCTTTAGACTAAACCACAGGCATAAAGAGGAAAACAAAACAGAGCACACCAGCAAGTGCACATAAAACACCCAGGGGCGGACTGACCATTTGGAAACTAGGGCACTGCCCGAGGGCCCGGTGTCAGTAGGGGGCCCCATGAGATTCCCCTGGTACCTTTTTCATAGGCTTTTTTGAGTTTGGGCAAGGACACAGGGGCCCCATGATCCCCTATTGCCCGGGGGCCCCATGAGTTGTCAGTCCGCCCCTGAAAACACCTACACACCCTACAAAGAAACCAGGTCAGAACATATAACCAGGTGCACCAACCTCCAATCAGATGTCACCTCCCTTGTGCAGATGCTAAAACTACCAGTTCCAAAAAGCTGGCAATGGGAGGGAGAGCTTATGGTGATGGGATAGTATAGTAAGGGCTCATTCACGTTGGTGGCAACTTTTCTGCCCTTCTGAACAGCAATCTGCAATGGATCGCTTTTCAGTGGGTGGTTGACAGGTGGCTGGAGTTGCTAGGGCCGATGCCTGGCTCTGATGTAAAGGAGACTTTGATGGGAACCCTGATGTAAGGGGGACTCTAGTGGCTGCCCTGATGTAAGAGGGACTCTGATGGGGATACTTGATGGAAGGAGGCCTCTGATGGGGACATTGATGTAATGGGGGACTCTGATGGGGACATTGATTTAAGGGGGGATTCTGATAGGGACACCTGATGTAAAGGGGGATTCTGATAGGGACACCTGATGTAAGGGGGAATTCTGATAGGGACACCTGATGTAAGGGGGGATGCTGATAGGGACACCTGATGTAAGGGGGCACTCTGATGGGGACCCTGATGCAACGGAGAACTCTGATGCAGGGGCGTATTTACCACAAGGCAAACAAGGCATTTGCCTAGGGTGGCATTGTTTAGTGGGGCAGCACTGCCCCCTGGAAGAAGGGACATATGTGACATGGGGACCAGGTGGGATCTGAGAGGGGCTGCTTGATGGTGCATTCAGGGCCCAACTGTCGTTCCCGGGGATGTCCAGAGCTGTGAAGGTGAGTGTTTTTCTCTCTGTCCCCGTGGTGGGTGGATGGGGGGTGTTAGTGGAAGGGTGGGGGGGGGGATGGGACATAGGTGTTGTTGGTCACTGTTAGGTTCTCTCCATGGCGGGGGCGTCTGGTGTTGGTTGGTGTGAGGCTCTCTCTCTGCCGTGGGGGGGGGGGGGGCAACAAAAAAAAAACTAAATACAACACTGCTCTGATGGGGGACCCTGATGTAATGCGGGACTCTGATGGGGACACCTGATGTGAGAGGGAACCCAGATGGGAACATATAGTTTAAGGGGGAACTCTGATGGGGGATCCTGATGTAAGGGGGGACTCTGATGGAGATCCTGATGTAAGGGGGGACGCTGGTGGAGATCCTGATGTAAGGGGGGACGCTGGTGGAGATCCTGATGTAAGGGGGGACGCTGATGGAGATCCTGATGTAAGGGGGGACGCTGATGGAGATCCTGATGTAAGGGGGGACTCTGATGGAGATCCTGATGTAAGGGGGGACTCTGATGGAGATCCTGATGTAAGGGGGACTCTGATGGGGATCCTGATGTAAGGGGGGACTCTGATGGGGATCCTGATGTAAGGGGGGACTCTGATGGGGATCCTGATGTAAGGGGGGACTCTGATGGGGATCCTGATGTAAGGGGGGACTCTGATGGGGATCCTGATGTAAGGGGGGACTCTGATGGGGATCCTGATGTAAGGGGGGACTCTGATGGGGATCCTGATGTAAGGGGGGACTCTGATGGGGATCCTGATGTAAGGGGGGACTCTGATGGGGATCCTGATGTCAGGGGGGAATCTGATGGGGATCCTGATTTAAGGGGGGACTCAAATTGGCACACCTGATATAAGGGGGGACTGTAATGTAAGGGGGACTTTGATGGGCACTCTGATGCAATGGGGGACTCTGATGGGGACACCTGATTTACAAGGAAACTCTGATAGGGATACCTGATTTAAAGGGGACTCTAATGGGGACACCTGATGTAAGGGGGAACCCTGTTGGGGACACCTGATGTACGGGGACCCTGAGGTAAGGGGGCACTTTTATGGGGACACCTGATGTAAGGCGGACTCTGATGGGGACATCTGATGTAAGAGGATGACTCTGATGTACGGGGACCCTGATGTAAAGGGGAATCTGGTGGGAACCCTGATGTAGGGGGGGGGGGGGGGGGGGACTCATTCCTTTATAAAACTGATTTTTTTTTTTTTCTTTTTGGCCTGCAGATATTTGCACACTATATGATGTGGCCCTTGTACTGAGAAGTGTGAAGAGCCCTGCTGTACACCTTTGTACTACATATTTGTAAGTAGATCCAAAGGAGATTGTACAATCAGATTGTAATGTGTACAGCGACTCAGGAGAACAATGCTCCCAGACAGCACGGTGCTGACAGACTCTGCCATTCCCTATGAAGTGTACAGATGCTCCTAGTTTGGAATCACACACCATCATATCCTCCCTGTAGTCACTTTATTACAGGACACAGGGGAGTGATGAGGGACAGCGGTATTGGTGACAGCAGCGTTGGCGGCGGAGGCGTGACTCCCGTTTTCGTGTTTGTTTACAGATTGGGCATGAAATGCTGAACGATGACAGAGATCTGAGACAGCTGCTCCTGTTTATAAACCTGTCTGTGGATCAGATCCAATCTTTGGTATAAATAGATTGTCAGCTTCCAGGTTTACAGACAGGACCCCCCCCCCCCCTTCTCTCTTGAGAAGAGGAGATTAAGGGGGGGTATGATCTCCATGTATAAATACATAAGGGGGGATGTGATCTCCATGTATAATACATGAGGGGGGATATGATCTCCATGTATAATACATGAGGGGGGATGTGATCTCCATGTATAATACATGAGGGGGGATGTGATCTCCATGTATAATACATGAGGGGGGATGTGATCACCATGTATAATACATAAGGGGGGATGTGATCACCATGTATAATACATAAGGGGGGATGTGATCACCATGTATAATACATAAGGGAGATGTGATCACCATGTATAATACATAAGGGGGGATGTGATCTCCATGTATAATACATAAGGGGGGATGTGATCTCCATGTATAATACATAAGGGGGATATGATCTCCATGTATAATACATAAGGGGGGGATATGATCTCCATGTATAATACATGAGGGGGGATATGATCTCCATGTATAATACATGAGGGGGGATATAATCTCCATGTATAATACATAAGGGGGGATATGATCTCCATGTATAATACATAAGGGGGGATATGATCACCATGTATAATACATGAGGGGGGATGTGATCTCCATGTATAATACATGAGGGGGGATATGATCTCCATGTATAATACATGAGGGGGGATATAATCTCCATGTATAATACATAAGGGGGGATATGATCTCCATGTATAATACATAAGGGGGATATGATCTCTATGTATAATACATAAGGGGGGATATGATCTCTATGTATAATACATAAGGGGGGATATGATCTCTATGTATAATACATAAGGGGGGATATGATCTCTATGTATAATACCTGGAACCGAGCACAGGGATCTCACCAATACAGTCTCTGAAAGACTGAATCCTAATTCTTCAGCACCTACCAAACACTGGAGTATCAGCTTTGGGTGGAGTGACCCTTTAGGATCAGTTTAGCGTCTTCTAATACTCATGCCAGGTAAGCTGGCCAGTCTATCTCATCCCCCCGCACACTGCCATTATATGTTGGAGGTTCTGCACATTCTACTGTCACTTGGATGGGCACAATGGGGGTCTCAGAGGAGATTGAGCATTTTGTGGTTATCAGCACAGAGATCTCATCTCTCAGTGTCACTGCGACGTGTCAGGCATGGCGGCCAGATGTGACACTTTCATATCGCCTCCCGCCGCAGTGCGGTCCCCAAATGAGAAGCAGATGAATTAGCAGGCAGGGGACTTATTACAGGAGAATGGGGAATGTTACTATGAGTTACACATCATATGTGACACAATCTCCCTCGTCGGATGATCTTCTGACTTTCATCGGATGTCACATCTCGGTGCGTATTGTCGCTGGCTGGGACAATATCCGATCATTTAACCTCGCTGATGCAAAGAGGTGACACGTCCCCCCCCCCCCCCCCCCGCTCCTGGCAGATGTCAGCGTGGACGGTGGCCAGAAAATAATTAAGTGGGACAGTTGTGACTCCAGGAACTTGCGGTGTCACAGTATGAACAATTACCCCCTTTTCCCAGAATTCTTTGCTGCATCTGCTCTTGTTCAAAGGCAATCAGCCGAATCCTAACTCGGAACAGTGATTTATGTAATGATCTTTCAGGATAATTGTATTTTTTGTGTCCTCTGTGGGCCAGATTTAAAAGTTTCCATAGACGTCAATGCGTTATTAACCCTT